GTCACCAGGAACATCCCTGTGGAATACCTAAGCAGAAGTACAGGCAATACATAAAAGTTTTAGCAACAAATTACATCCACCCATTCTCCATCTGAGTCATTTATTAAAACACAGCCTTGCTCTAAATGAAGGCCGTCATGCCTGACAGATTATGGTCTTAAACTGTAACGACAGCTTCTTTAAGCGGCTGATTTTTACATAACGCAGCAACACCAACACCGCAGCTGGTTCATCAGCCCATTCATCTAGCCTCTGATCCAAATTATTCTTTCTATAGTGCCCTGCACACTAATTAAAAAAAATGTAAGGCAGCTCACAAACCCCTGGGCCTATTGGCCTGCTTTGGTGAGAGCCATTGTGAGAGGACTGTGGGCTTCAGCTGGGCCCGACAGCAGACCAAGCTGGCCGGCACTCAAGAATCTCTCAGCATAAAACCAACAAAGCAGGCGTGGGCTGCGCACAGTGAATACGGCCACATATCTGTCTCGGAGCTCTACAACTCCAGGCCAATTCTCCTCTTTGAAGAATGAGACTCAGGTGAAAGCAGAAAAGTAGGCAAGCCACATGAAGGGGGCAACCCTGCTGACACAGTGAAAGTGGCCCAATTCCTCCTCTTAAGCTGATTGCTTTACGTGCCTGGACTGTGCCGCAGAGTGTGTTTGCTCCAGGTAAATACCCACTCAATCTCCTCTGGCTGTCCTAGCAGGCCCTCCTCCCAAAGCTTTGTCTAACCAGCACGCTGCGGCTCTCTCCACCTTTCTGAAACGGAATTTCACTCGATTACCACGAGAACACTTTCGGTGTAGCTTCACAAACTTTTCCCAGCTTGGCGGTGGGGAAACTGCATTTACAAATATAAAACAACTTCTAACCTCTGCAATTAAAGAAATCATGAAGTTGCATTAAAGTGGGTATGGGTGAGTGTTATTTTCAGATTTAAAGGCATTTGTGAGGATTTGCTCAAAGTTCAATCAATAATGAGCTTAAAAACCAATCTTGAATCAAAACCAAGCGGAAAATAAAGTCATATTACGAAACTGACATCTCCTACATCTGTGTGCAAATGGGCCTGAAGAAAAACTTGCTGACTGCGTGCATGCAGCTCAAATCAGAGCTGAGACGATTAGCCAATTACTTAGTTGAAAATTAAGAGGCAACTACTTTGTGATTCAATTAATCTCCTGTTGTTCAAGAAGTAATACCAATTAATTCCCCAATTCCAGCTTAACTGGGTTGACTATTTATATTTCCCTCTCTTGTATGGCGGTGAAGACAGTCATGTTAGGGAATGAGACAAAACCCTTTTCAAAGATCTACCTGGGATTTAAGACAGCAAAACGGCACAGTCATCATCTTCAATAGCATTTATTATGTTTAAGAAAAGAATGGGCACCCAGATCAATGAAAATAATTGTTTACTGCAGCCAGAGCTCAGCCTGTACAAGGGCTCAGATATCACTGAGAAAAGGAAGCGCTGTTTCAATTAAGTATAAAATACACTTATACAGGAGAGAAGAAGCAAATCCTGGATTCAAAACAGTGTTTGTGTGAGGTGATCTTTGGAACGCTAATCCATAATTAAAAAAACAAAAACAAAACGAAGCATCTTCTTTTAAGTTACCATGAAAATGCCTCTATTCTCATGGCAAAGTCATGTTTAACCTCAACTATTCTCACTCTGACTCTTCAGCGTGCACTCATCACCATCGACGAAGGAAGTTAAACAACGAATTAAAATTGAGAAATCTCCCGACATCACTTCCTCCTGTTAAGGTGCTGAGTGTTTTCCACATTGCTGACCTTTACAGGCTCAGTTTTGCAGTTAATAAACGGCACAAAACGCTCTACTAAACTCCACACAGGCAAGTTCACAGATGGCCAAAAGCAGAACTGGCAAACTCACCGGAAACAGGAACTTCTTGACCTCCTCCATGGCGTGGGCCATGCGCAGGTAAGCCTCGGGCACAGGCGCAAAAACCTCGATGAACACGTGCAGCTCCATGGAGAGGTGGGCATACTTGGGCTCACCGCTTTTCCTCAGCCCCTCCTCCTGAAAGAAAAACCATCATAGAGAGTGAGAAGAAGCCAGTTCAAACATTTAATGAATAATGCAAGGAGAAAAATCACATTTATTCCACCTCGGAGGGCAACAGGGGTTACATGCAGTATTCCCTTCCTTTGTATAGCTTGATAATTACATCAAACTGGTAGATAACAGGTTTAGTGGGCTATCCTGAAGACTCTGGAGCAGATGTGCAGTGTTTGAATGCCCTTGGCTGAGTGTTAATGTTCAGCTGAGCCATCCAGCAACTTGACTCCATCTGGGCTCACTAACTGTCATCCCGCTCAAGCAAAGGCCAGATGTGTTATTGCTTCAGGTAACCTTCCCACAGGTGCATAAGACCAGATGTGTGTAAGCATGTGTGTGTACCTTGGCTTTGTCTCTCATGGATCCTTTGCCCAGCACAGAGATCTTGGCTCCAGTCTCCTCCTGCAGACGTTTGATTGTGTTGCCCTGAGGTCCCAAAATCTTCCCCACAAAATTGAACTAACAGCAAAACAAAGCAGAACAAAATTAGCCTGACAATCACGGCAGAGGCGAGTTTAATACCAGGAGAGTGAGGGAGAGGCAATCACCGTCTGTCTGTCAGGGCTCTTGTTGCACATACTGCAGCCTTAAGTAGTAGATTTAACAGACAAAGTCGATATGAGCCCCCGAGGGCTGTAATACTGCCGTTTGCTATTCACTGCAATCATCCATGCAGTGAGCCAGAACTTTACCTCCTCGATCTTTCAACAAAGTAATTACCGTGTGTATGATGCGTCCCGCAATTAGCTGTCATTGCCAGAAACGTTTAGCAAAAAGCCGCCCCAAAGGAACCTCGCTTCAACCTGAAGTAGTAAAAGCAGCTCCAATAATCGGAATCGCTCATTAGCTGCGCCGTGCCCGACACAGCAGTGTGACGGAGCAACTAAAACCCAAGGCCGGTGTTAGGGATGCACCTGTCCTGCATTTGGAGTACATCAGTCCTATCCCACCTCAAAACCCTAAAAGGTCAGCAGACTGGATGCATTACACACCTGCAATGCCAATGTCTGAAATGCATGTTTGCAATTATTTTAAACTCAATCAAAACTCGACTGGTCCAAAAAAAACCAAAAAACAAAACTGGGCTCTCTCTCCCTCTCTGACAGCTTCTGTCGCTCGCTGGCTCGGCTTAAAAGTTTGGAAGCTTTCGCTGCACTTGCAGGAACATAATGCGTTGAATAATATTATCTCACTTCACCTGCCTCTTGACTGCTTCACTGGAGTGGAGCAGACAAGAGTCCATCCAATTTGGTCCATCCCCATTCTGAGAGATCAGACAGTCATCAGACCCTCACAGAACAGGAGATGCTCCTACAGCTCATCGATCCGACGCTGAAAACGAAGCAGCACCTACAGATCTCATTCTTTATAAAGCAGTTTGCTCTATTCAAAAAGAGCACTGAACACCAGAAGTTACACGATGGGCCATAAAAGAGACGCCACACTGACTCTGGCAACTTAATCGTTTTATTTTTATTTTATTTATTTTTTTAGCAGCATGCAAATGATGCATTGTGCAGCTGCAGCATTATGCATTGTGCAGCTGCAGCATGCTCTCTGAGTTTTACAGGACAGATTACAGCCTTTATCACAAACACTCATCCTAAAATCAATGCAGCCTTACGTCTGAGCCAGATATGGATTGAACCGATATGGCTGAATGCACCTGAGGTTAAATGATAAACCTAAGTAAGGCTCGGGATGGAAACAGGAAAAGATCTGAGCACCAGTATGAATTACACTGAAATATAGAGCCATCCCAGCTATACTCATTTTAACATTTTGATCCCTTTTAGTGAGATTTTAGAAACATGCCAGTATCGGCTGTAATTATACTCTGGAGCTTAAAGATCAGGGTTGAGAGGAGTAATTTGAGACTCCCAAGTAACCCCGTGGCTTTGTGTAATTGAAACACAGCTGCAGGATAAATTAAATCAAGAGGGGTTTCGCTGGGAAGCGGGAGAGGACAGGAGGAGGAGGAGGAGAAAAGAGGGGAGACAAAGAAAGCTCACCTTCGGGTACTGTTTGACAGGTATGAGCACTCGCTCCTTGAGTTTGATGTTCTTCGTCGTGAAAAGGTCCAGGTATGTCTCAGTTTCCTTTTTAGTCTCACCTTTCTGGATTCTGTCAATTTCTGGAAGATGAGAGGGATCGTTTCAGGCAACCAAACAGTCAGAGTGGCAACATACAACACAATGATGAGAAGCACTTATGTGCGGTAACGTGAACCAGAAAGCACCAACTTTAGGGATTCAGCACCACCAGGATAGAGTTAAAACCTGATCTTAAAAACCAGTTGTGCATACACTCATCAGCTGTTTAGAGTTGGATTCATACAAATCTGGTCCCAACTGTGTAAAGCGCAGTAGCACTTCTATGATTTGTGGCCCTTTGAGGGGAAAACACGTCTGACTTTTTAGCCCGTTCCTATGGTTGTAACACACACCTCTGTAAGTCTTTGCAAAGCAAATCCACATTAACTGAATGCCAAACAACGGCAGTTTCCACTGAGTGCGTTGACTGCTTCACATTTGAATAGCAGTGAAACAGCTTAGCCAGCCATTAAAAGGCAAACACTTGATGAATAGTTTCGGCCGTTTATCAAACAAATCGTAGCCCATTCTCTCGCTGTTGTTCACTCTAAAAGACAATTTTGCTGTGATTATGTCACCCTAAACAGCTGATCAGCCAAATCATCTTGGACCTTGTTTATTCTTTAACAAAAATCAAAACAGTCCAACTCTAATCTGTACTGGAAACAAATCAACACAAAGTATTTGCGAGCATCCTCTGTAACCTCTTCCTTGTGACCGAGCACCTGGTTTCCCCCCTCCAGCACCCATTGCAGTACTCCCATCTCAAACCACCTCCGCACTCCTGACTGTGACAACTCCCGAGCCTTCAATGTGCAAACATGCCAGCTTACACCACAGTCTACCAGCTGCAGATCAGGAGAAGCCTGAGTAGATGTTTCACCGAGGGAACCCATCCACACTGCACACCCTGACACACTTTGTCTTCCTGGTTAGTCCACGCTTCCAAATTTCACACACGTAGCCTAGATTCGCCAAATCACGTTTGCCAAACGGTCAACTTCATTATCACCAGGGCTACCTGAGTTAAGCAAATAAATAAAATAAAATAAAATAAAAAACAGTTTTAGAAAATGGCTCACAATTACTGACAGAGCACATGGCCAATGGCTGACATAACTAAATAATCACATTTGTTTATATAAAGCAGTCATAGCTAGCTTTTAACATCCTTTTTTGTATTAGGGATAGCTGACTAACTCACACAGTACTACTAGGTAGGTGTGTGTGTCCACTTGTCCTAGCTTCAGCACAGCTGCAAGGCAGCAGTCCCGGGGCGGCCATGGCTGCAGTTTTGTTGCTCAAGGACACTTAAGCAGTGGCCATCGGCAAGCATCGCGGTTAAAGGCTCTTTGTCACCTCTGCTAGGCCGATTCTCGGCTTTAAAGTACTGAGGTGACCCCCGCTCCTGGACACTAGCGCACATTCACAGGCTGCTGCGCAATAATATCAACAGGGACTCGAGAGCACACGACGGAAACAGCCCGCGTGCCCAAGTTTAAACTCGCACGAGCACCGACAGTTACAGAAAAGAGCAGGTGCGACAAAAGCTGCACGCGAGGAAGCGGATATTAGTCGCAATAACTGAAAAGTGTAGCTCCTCCGTGGTGTAGCGAGAGCCTTAAGCGGTTTACTCTTTCAGACGGTATTCGTTCACTAACTACAGATTTTAACGCCCACACGTATTTTTCTTTGTTTTTGAGCAATGAATAGGACCTCGTCTCCGCGTAGCGGTGAACGGGGTAGTTCACGTCCCGTCCGCAAACACATGGCGCCGCTCTCCTCAACTCCAGAGGATAAAGCGTACAGTGAAAAAAAATCACAACAAAACAAAAATAAAGACAGTGTAACAGTACTTTACCCGCGTTTAAAAGTTTCATGGCATGCGTGAACGACGAGTCCAGGCTGTCCTTCTCTGCCAGAAGCTCGGGGAGATATTTGTCGTCGTTCTCCATTTTGTTGAGTTTGGAGGTGTAGGGGGGGGCAGTCAGTTTCGGTGCAAAAAATAAAGCGTGGAGAAAAATAAACCCAACAGTATACGGGGAGGAAAAAGTAGTCCAATTATGTAACTACGGAGAACCGCGTATCCTCTTTGCAGACCGCGCTTTGCATGTGGCGTTTTTGTGCGACCGACGGGTCCGTTACTCTTTGCCGCTTCCCAACTGGTTGATTCCCTCTTCTCAGCAGCGCTGGCTAGTTGGAAATGGGAGAACAAAAGCTGTGAGGCGCTGGAAGAACAGCCAACTCAAACCGACGGAAGTGAGCTCAGAGGGACGTACTTCTCCGGACTGACGCCGCCTACTGTGTGCTGTTCGGATGCGCCGCCTCCAGGAGCGACAATCCCACTATCAGATTTTCGATAGTGATATGGGTGTGCCCGCTCTGGAGCGAGTTACTGTCATAATAAAAACGTCTAGACTGCCCACAAGGTGTTCAATTCCCCCACACCCTCCACCCCATACTTTAAATTAGGGGAAACTTAGAGATACAATAGGGTGGCCTGCTGAACTAGAGGTGCTCAAGAGTGGCCACATGCTTTAAAATATGTCCTCATATGTTTGCTGTGATGTCTGCAGAAGTAAGCCACAATACTTCAATCTGTCTTGTGGATATTATAGTTTTCTCACATGAAGAATACAGTCTGTGCAGTTAAAGTCATACATATGTAGCAATAGAAATATTCTATCTCGTATGTGCTGTTGTACAGGACCTTTTAACATCGGTTGTATATTAAGTGGTGTGAGCAGGATAATAATAGATGATGACACCCACAGTGTTTAATTAGTAAACAGAATTTCAGTGAAGATAGTGTGCCCTGAAGATGTGCCGCGTTCATTTGAGGCTCTCTACTGCCCCTTAGTGGCAGTGACGACAATGACAAGGAGCGGCTCTCTGTGCAGCTTAAAGTGGGTCTGTCAACAGAAACCCTTTCTCAGTCGAATTACACGTTTTCCTCTCAGCTGTCTATTGATTCAAAAACACTTATGTGTGAGCGAAAAGCAGCCGTGAGCCTAATTTCTGGGAGAAACAGCTCAAGGATTGATTCTGGAAGCGGTAATGAACCTTGCAGTGCCATTCTGTGGAGCACATGGTGTCAGAGGGTACAGCTGACTGGTCCATGCAAAGTAAAAGAAGGCGGTTTCCTGTATATTGGTTATTTGAGTACATACAGTGGTGTGCATTATGCCTGGGTAGATCCTCTGAGCGAATAGCTGAAATTGCAGATCATTTGTCAGTCGGCCGCTGGACTGAAAACTATTACAATCGACCGCAGGTGTACCCAGGCATGCATCTGCACAAAACAAATGAAGGCAAAAATTGACTGCAGTCAACACTTATGAGAGGCCGAAGACCTGCTCTAACTATCAGCGCTCAGCTTGATCTATCTCTGACCATTACAGTGTTATTAGTGTTGGGGGTTGCAAGGTTGTCCTGACTCCTCATGTCATTGACAGAATGGATCGCCTGTGAGCTGAATTTCAATTGGCTCATAAAAGGAAGAGTTACTTCTCTTGGCAGGTGGAGGAGTTCCAATCGGATAGCTTGTGCTCTTGCCTTCTGCTCGTGTGGACTTCCCATGTCCCCTAACATACAGGGCCACAGTCTGGGATAAACAGCGGCAGATGGAAGGAGGTAAACACTGGGGTTAGGCTTATATAAGCCATCACTATTCCAGATCTTTGCATCTGACCATTTTTCATGCCCCACAGATTCGTAAAAATGGCAAGAATTCAGCGCTCCCCTGGAGTTTCATCCGAGTTAGGGCAGAAGAGCATGTGAAACAGCATTTGGAGCATCATGGGAGTCTGAAACTCTACTGAAAGTCAAACTAATGAAATTCTTAGCAGCTCCTTATGGCAGGTTTCACTGCCGTTTTTACAAACTGCAGTATAACAGGACTTGGAGACTACTGCCTCAGTGAAGCTGGACTTCAGCACAGCTGTGCTTTAGGGTAAATGTTAGCATGACTGAAAAAAACACATCCCCACATTTTTCCCTAGTGTTCCTAATCCTCTTCCATACAGCTCCCAGTGGCACCGGAGAAACAGTTACAGGGTTACCAAATGAACTTCGATACATCATCTGAGAACCATGAATATGCAGTTCCATATAGTTATTGAGATTCTAATGAAACGTGTGACTTGCTGTTAGAAGTTGATGAGAATTCAGAGGAATACTAAAGGATCCATCCTCTCAGACCATAAATTTAGAATAAATAAGTCATGTTGTTGTCAAAATGTATTTCAGTATGGAGCAGTGGACTGTTGGTTTTTTTGCCACACAAATTCCTAGAAAAATGCTGCTTGCTAAAAACCTCCCATATCATGCTCCAATAATGTTTTCTGGCTGGTATCTGGCATAAAACCAATATAATTCAATGCATATTGACTAAATGTAATCATGTTGGAAACCATCATATCAGAAGAGACACTAAATGGATGATATCCCATTGTAAATGGAAAGCTTTTATCTCTACAGTATGTTTCCTCCATCCACAATGGTAAAGGGAAAATAGAGATAGAATGAAATCGGTGGCAGGACAAATAGAAGGAGAATAGGAATTTGTACACTTAAATCCTTTAGTCTTCACACTGTCAGAGGAGGGTTTTCCTGTTCTTGGGAGGTTTAGGCACGAAAGCAAGTGAGAGTGAGCGAGAAAGATGGCTGGGTTCAGTCTGAGGGTCACGCTCAGTTTAGCATCGCTACAAGGCCAGAGAAACCTTTTTTTCCCCATGAAAGCTTTCAGAACTGTCACACCTGCTTAGGTCTGTAACACCACCCCACTCCCCTTCCTCTTCCTCTATCCCCACCTCTTCCCAACCCTTCTACACTCCCCATCCCTCCCTCACCGCTCAGCCACCACAGAAAACAACTCTCCCTTTCACCTCTGTGCAAGATTTTTCTTTACACCCCCATCCTTTCGGCAGGGCGGTTATTTTTCTTGATGGTTTACAGAAGAGGGATTGAAGCCAAAGAAATGCTGAAGTAACACTAAATAGTTAAAATTTATACACAGGTTGTTTTGATTTTTGATGCAAATCCTTTGTTTTGTTAAAGAAAAATGCCTGCCTCTTTGTGTATCATTATGCTATACCTCTAGACTATTATTAGAATTGAAGCTCTACTACTTGGAGACAGGAGTCCAAGGAAAAGCTATTAGTGAGGCTACTTACATATTCTGCTGGTACTGCAAAAACAGGGGGAAATGCCAAAGACTCAGCAGTCAAAAACTTTAATTTTCTCTGCAACATCTTTTGCTTCAGTAAATAAGTAATGTGACACTCTTGCTGTGCTATTTCAGATATATCACTGTCCCCTCCTCTATTAAAAAGTGTATTAGCTCATTTTGGTGTAAATAAAGAAGTACTTTATGTCCAAGTAATTTGGATCCTGTCATAGGTCCTGATCTAGAATTCTAGACAAAAATGGGACCATTGTCCTCTTCCAAAAGTCCAGTAACTGGTCTCCTCAGTTCCCAGATGTTTATGAACTGTTGTTGAAAACAGAGGGGATGCTGCACAGTGGCAAATAGGGCCACATACCTACTTTTTTGAGTTGTGTTGCTGCCATCAAATTCAAAATGAGCCAATATTTTTCATAAAAGAGTAAAATGTCTCAGTTGAAATACATGATATGCTTCCTCAGCTCTACTATGAATAAAATATGGATAAAAGATTTGCAAATCACTGCACTCTGTTTATATTGCTAAAAGTATTCAGTCATCCATCCAAATCATTGAATTCAGGTGTTCTCCCATGTCCACATGTGCATACCAAGACATTTTGGAATATTTCACTTTGTGGGAACAGTTTGGGGATGGCCCCTTCCTGTTCCAACATGACTGTGAATCAGTGCACAAAGCAAGGTCCATAAAATATGGATAAGCGAGTGTGTCGTGGAATAAATTATTTGGCCTGCAAGAGTTCTGACCTCAACCTGATAAAACACGTTTGGGACGAATTAGAGCGCAGACTGGAAGTCTGGTCCAGCATCAGTGTCTGACCTCACACGCGCTTCTGGAAGAATGGTCAAACATTCCCATAGACACACTCCTGAACCTTGTGGAAAGCCTCAAAGCTGTTATAACTGCAAAGACTGGACTAACCTATGGATTAACAATGGGATGCCCCTCAAGTTCATATGCGTGGGAAGGCAGACGACCGAATGCTTTTGGCAGTACGGTGTGGTTGCCTGTCCCCAGACACTCCCCTTATCCTTCTGAGTGGGGATCTTAACCCCCCAGTGTTGAACACAAAGTTACACCCTTGGTCAGCAGTGGTACCTTTTCCCAACTCTGAACAACAGTAACCAGCAGTTTGAGATGGCATTGACTAATGATCACATAATGCACACAGAATGGTTTAATGAGTGTATTTCAGTAGCAGTGGGCACTTTTTAAATAAGAAAACCTGCAGGGTGGCTGGCCTCTCCCTTAGAGATAGGGTGAGAAGTTCGGCCAACTGGGAGGGGCTCAGAGTAGAGCCGCTGCTGCTCCACATCGAAAGGAGCCAGCTGAGGTGGTTCGGGCATCTGACAAGGATGCCCCCTGGGCGCCTCCTGGGTGAGGTGTTCCAGGCATGTCCCACCGGGAGGAGGCCCCGGGGCAGACCCAGGACACACTGGAGAGATTATATCTCTCGGCTGGCCTGGAAACGCCTTGGTGTTCCCCCGGATAAGCTGGAGGAGGTGGCTGGGGAGAGGGAGGTCTGGGCCTCTCTGCTTAGGCTGCTGCCCCCGCGACCCGGCCTCGGATAAAGCGGATGAAGAGGGATGGATGGATGGATGCATAGTCCCAAATGGTGGACAATCAATAAAAGAAACAAGTTAGGTGTTAAGGAACGTTACTTTAGCTTCTGAGCTAACAGCCCTGTCCTGAACTGAACTCACAGAGCAGTGAACGGACACTTGGCTTTATCAGGTGCCAGAAGCCCAACTCTAATGCGACTGTCAATTTAGTCTGTATGTGCTGGATGTGTCAGTTGCTTCTCTTCCACCCTTAGTGCCACAAAATTAAGTAATGCAGATTTAAACACTTGGCAGCATATACATAGCATGTCTCAATTTGGATATTTAAGTTAGCACACTTTCATGTAGTACACTATGTACACTACTTACTTGTGTAGTACATTATCTGGACAATGTAAGCTTCTTTCTACTAAGAAGATGGAAACTGATGATGTATAAACAGCAAACACCACTACAAGACACAATGTGTTTTTATCTGTGATGATAGTTAGCATTAGAGTAATTGCCGATTCTGATGACACATCCTGATTC